GCAGCAGCAGCAGCAGCAGTGTTGCGTTGCAACAAGTGCAGCAACCCTGAACCGCATGAATGGCATCAACCGTACCATGACACGAGTTGGGGCAGCGTGACAATAGTATAGTCAATATAAGATGCACAAAGGGAAAACTCAACTACTGCCATGCTTCCACCAAACATCACCAAACTCTTCATCACCCGCTTCCCCCACCGAACTCTTCGCTCATGCCCCAACACGTCAGCAGCAACCAGCAAGCAGCCAAAGGCAATCAGCAGCACCAAGCATGCAAGCAGCAAGAGACCAAGCAGCAGCAGGTACTGAGGAGAAGGGTGGAGTTGAACCCGGGGGGGGGTTAAAGCCTGATAAATCAGGTATCTGCACTCAGGTCCTCGGCTCCCACCCTCCTTGCTAAAGCAAGACAGACTCCAGCTAGCTACAGCTAGCTTTCGTGACTTGCCCATAGCTTTTCACAAGGTTGGGGCTTCGCGTTGCGCCCAGTGTGCTGTTCGTTCTACCGCATACGCTCCGTGTCCAACATTCTGCAAGCCGAACAGTTTCAAAGTGCCCGGGAAACAGTAAAGGAACTCAGAATCTTGCATAGGTGTTTCCTGAGGTTGGTTTCATGCCCTCATTTGGGCATCAAAAATCGCACCGGCAGGTTTGAAGCCACCGAGTAACTTGAGGAAAAGGCCAGAGTCCAAGAAAATGGCCATCGCTGGCGTAAACAAACCAATGACAAATGTGGCCATGAACCTTGGCGGCAGTCATTCATTTCCATTGTCAAGCATCTATGTAGCGAAATGCGCCAGAGCAAAGGTTCATTAAGAAGAAAAACATCCCAAGGAGGCAAAAATTGGCACCTTCCGAGACTTTTGCATCTAACCTTCAATACATAGCATGCCCTGCTGCCTCAATCTGGACAAAAAGCTACGGTTCGCAGTACACATGGCCCACAGGGTGCCAAGAAGCCCCAGGAAAGCTATTGCTGCCACGCTGAAGAGAGACTCGGAGCCGAAGGTTCGTAGGACCCAAGGAGGGCTGGCCACCTCTATGGTTTCGGAAACTGCAGGGGCCTCACACAAGCCGGCCAAAGAAGTGCCATTATCTCCAGATCTTCCAAAAAGTCGCTTCCAACAAATTGAGCATGTGCTTGGTAGAACAAGCGTTTACAAGACTCTGTGTAGTATACAGCAGCCCTGAAAAAGCCTGCACCATGAGGGTAGAGAACGTGGAGAAGACGCAGAAAAGGCTGAAGCAAGCGAAACCTGAAGTAAATCAGCGAGGTTTTAAGTTGTGAGTTCCAGACAGGCTGGTGCCAACTGAGAACTGATGGATACTGATGGCAAGCTGGTGTGTCAAGCATTTCTTCGACTGCAGCCCTGGCACCAATTCCAAGCTGCGCAGGTGCTGCCACCACGCCGCCAGCTCCATCCAAATGACGAAACAAATATCTTAGCCGCACAGAATGCGCGCAAGGGACACACCTCTAAAGGTTAGAGCCGGATTCTGAAACTAACTCATCAGATTCTGAAACTAGCGTTCTGAAACTGGAATTCTGAAACTGTGTCCGGCATGGCATTTTATGAAGCCAGTTTCAGAATCACAGTTCGAGAATTCCGTTTCAAGACTTCAGTTTCATGTAGCATCATCTTGTATGCCCCCCAAACCCTCCTCACCCAATTCCCCCCGGCTTCCAACGCGTGTGCACATGTAGCACCATCTTGGATGCACTTCTAATCGATCGTCATTACCCTGCCCCACACCACCCCACCCTAGCCCAGCGTAGGCCGTAGGCGTAGCATCAGCGGTGTCTGCAAGTTCACATGAACGCTAGCACCACCGCAAAATCCCAGTTGTCGAATCTGACCAACTAGCTGAGGAATCCTAGTTGCGAAACCCGACTCTACCCCACCTCTACACACTGTAACCTCAGCCCAGGCACAACAAAAGGATGTAGGCAAACATGTCTGGACAGGCCCACTTGCTGATGATCTGCACCACCTGAACAACTGCCCCAGGTGACAAACAGCACCAACAAGTATGTTGAAACTTGGAAACATTCATTCTAGCTGCTCCTGCTGCTGCTTTGCATCTACTGTACCGGAAATTACAGGCTCATCTAGAGCTGAAAGCCTCCACCATGTGCTTGGCCATACGCACTTTCCTGGGGTCCTGATCCTCCCGCCACAGCTCAGCCATGATCAAGGCAACAATCTTCACTGCAGGTACCACTATGGCATAGAGGATGAGCCTAAGGTTAGACGGACAACAAGCAGTGAACAAGTCTTTCGGTTTTTCAATTTCCCATGCTTCAGTAGCTGCAGACGTCTTCCCCATCATTGGAGCCGCGTAACAGGAAAGCCCCTATCCAGCCACCCGTTTTAAAGAGAAGGTGAACAACACCAACGGCTGATTCCACTATAGGTGCATAATCTCCATCCACCTTGAAAGTGCGGCAAGGCAAACAAAATCATTGCTGATTCAGAAATCGATTTGACAAGGATGGCAAAGGCAGCAGCTCCCACCTGTGTGAGGATGACCTTCACCCCGAGCACTTCAACGCCAAGAATGAACTGGAACAGTGTAGTAACCAGTCCTGGCAAGGTCAACTCGTGAGCAAACTGAGTTTGCTAAGTGGTCCGAGGCACCTGGTAGAAGAAGGGCATAGCTTCCTAGCAGGGCTGCCAGGCAAAGATAAGACGGTCGCGTAGACGATTTTGGCGGTGCCAAAAACCTCAGACCGTCAAGAACTGAGTCGAATAGCAAGCAACAGTGTCCGACAGCAGCAACGGTGCAAATGCCATCCAAGGACATGTCCAACGCACAACCGACACCCAGGACTACGAGCATGGCAATGGCACAAAGAACCACCTGCAGCATGCAGCTGCTTGAATGAGATGACATGCATCCCTCAAAGTACAGGCCTGTTGGTTCACTGCGTGCGTACCAGGTGGTGGAAGGTCGAAGTTGTCAACGGCCATGTCACCTCTAAGGACACCACGAACACACAAACGCTCTTTGTCTACATGGTTCAGAGTCACTGCTTAGATTGAATTTAGAGCACGGCCCCACAACCGAAAGTCCTGGCCTAAGAGGGCCTTGGCCGCAGAAGATGTCATTGAGTCAACCTCAGATTGATGGCATTTGGCTGGGGCTGACATTACAGTGCAGGTGCTATTAAAGGATGCTATCTTATCCCTCTTGTTAAGGTTCGTGCTGCTGACCCCAATGCATCGCCAACGGCGTTGGTTGCAGAAGATACGATATCGCCCAAAGGACCAAATTGAACCTGGACTTTCACTTTTTCAACACTGGGTCGATGTGGAAACTGATTGCGTTGTGAGCTCTCAGATGTGTCACAGGCCCTTCTGCGTTCTACCTCCCACCTCCTGGTCCAACTGTTTTCCTCGTTGCGAAAAGGCCCGGGCGCTGTAGAGGTTTACAGCGCCAGCAGTAGCACAAGATATGTAGAACATGTACGCTACCGAAAGCCATGCCATGGTCGGCGAGGCTGTGTGGTCTACCTTCTTGAGCCCATAGCTAAAGCAACAAAATCTCTGAGATTGAGAAAGGACGAACGTAAAGAACATGTTGAATATTCAGTCGCATGCATGCTCTAAAATACTGCAGCTGTGTCTAAATGAGCCCGAGTCTGCCGTCGGGATCGTAGAACACGACGCCTGCAATGCTCGAGGGTGGACTGGGGCCGCTAGGGCTGCTAGGGGCACACTGCGCAACAAAGACTAGTGACTAGTGTTGCTCAACAACAAAGACATACTGAGCCTTGCTCAACTGCAGCAAGCAGCCAGGGGGGCTGCTCGACAGGTGCAAAGGTGACCTGGCAAAGCAAACAACAAGTAACAAGTAAAATCAAAAGGCGAGCTTGGGGGGAGGTGCTGAAGGCCTCCAACCTAGAAGCGATGGCCTCCAACCTACTAGCGATGGCCTCCAACCTAGAGCTTGGGAGGAGCTAAACCAACACCGAGACACGCCCATGGCATCTGCAGCTCGCACCCAAGGTGGCATCTCGGGGGCCTCCAAGACATGACTGGTCACTTTGACCTCTTTCTCTTTTTCGCTATTGCTAAGCTAAAATGCCACCGCAAAAGATAGGATGGATAACAACTCTACCTACATTCACAATTGTCAAAGGTGCCCATTGGCCTTGTTTTCACCCTCCATGACCCCAACCTGACCAGGCCAGCTACGCTTTGTAGCAATTGATCCGAATGCAAAGTCTTGCCAGTCTGCAGCTGCAAGAAGAAACATCACATCATTGTATTTCTGAAATATCCCAGCACCTCGGTTCAGGAGGTGAAAAGTTTGCTTTGGGCAAAAGTGGCTTCGGCAAACAGCACACAAGCGTAAGAGAGAATCAGCCAACCTTTCAAGTCAGCCCCATGCAACACTCTCAAATCGTTCTACATCATCGCTGCGCTCACCTTGGCACCTGCAATGGCACTTTGGCTTGCTTCCCTGGGAGGCGATTCTGCTTCAATTGTGGATTCCTATACTGTATATATATATATATATATTCATTGCAGGTACATGTGGAGTAATGCAAGGACACAATCATGCACACTATCTTTCACACTCGCATGTTCAGTATCAGGTGGGTCTCGTTGGCGGTTGGTTTTACTGTTGACTGCGGCCTGAGCGTATGAAGCGCACAGTGTTGTGGGTGGCCTATGCCTATGGATTTCAGGGGGCTGCGAATTTGTGCCCCGTGCACTTCTTGCGAGGTCGTGGGAGGCGCCACTTCCTACGCTGGTCTGTGGCACTCTGCTTGGCCTCAAAAAGGAGACTGGACCCTCCAAGCCCTCCATGAGCATTTGAAGCTTTGCTGGCCTCTTGGCCTTCGCATGCCTTAGCTTGGGGGTCCCAGATGCAATACATCGCATACTTTACAGGTGTATATATATATAATTGTTCCACATCCTGACACAGAATCATTTTTCGCTGTTTTGCTCCCCTTCCTGTCAGCTGTGAGTGACCTTGTGCCATTGCCGCGATGCATTCAAGGAGTTCAGAGGTCTTGCCCCAAGAAGCTGAAGTTGCGTTACGTTGCGTTAGCAGTGCAGCGATGAAGGACAAACATCATGAAGCGAGGCCTCAGCGGAGCATTCTGCAGGAGCTTACTTACCGTAACTAGACTGTGCTGACTATCTAGATACAGGACTCCAGGTCTGTTGATCTAGGCTGGGCAACTGAATCGCAGGTTCACCATGTCAGGACCTGGCCCTGGCCCCAACTGCAAAACGATGATCGTTCCCTACTTACTGTAACCCCATCATCCAGATTAAGGCACCTTGCTGTCTGACAGTCTTGAGTCTTGAATGCTCAATTCAGGAAGATGCGAACTGACACAATATACCGCCACGACCGTCTTCATGTTGACGCATGCCTTTCCCGTGATTGTATACACATCCGTCGTGGACATGCCCTGTTCTGCGCCAAGGCAACTTTCCGCTTCTACTTTCACCGCCTGAGCTACTGAATCCACCTTCTACGCCGCTACGCTGTACCATCCGCCTCTACACACTCACCTCCACGCGAGTCTGGAATTGACCCCCCTCCAAGTGTCAAACTCCGTGTGGCAAGTCTGCGCACGACCCTTGCAAGAACATACGGAGACGCGGCAACATGCATGCCATGGAAAAGGGAATCGCTTTCCACATCGGGCTGCGGCTGCAACTAGTAACTAGCCTATCGCACACGGCCTCCAACACTTCACGAAGCACAACACGTAAATAAAGTACTGATCCTAGAGTGAATCCGCTGTCCCCATGTACCTAAACGAGCCAGGAAGACCTCATGCCATTTCAGGCTGCGACTCCCAACTCCTGATGTACTCCTCACTTCATCTTCACTGCTCCGCCCACCACGGCCATGGGGTGCTCGGACTAGCACCCGGAAGCACGGCCTTCGGAAGCCTTCTAGCGCACTGCTACAAGACTTCTTTGCCATTCACATGAGGATGTTTGTTTCACGGTCGCCCGTGTCTGGGAGGAAGGAACTTCTTATATAGTGAAATCTGCAGTGTTTCGAGCGTTCTTGGATTGTCGTCTCAGTGGCCGGGGTGCAGGTGCTGCATAAAAGCTTACAAGAACCTAATCCTTTACATAGCTTTGTGTGGTACAGTTGATGCAAATTTCGATTCTCTTGCACTGGTGGGATACGATCTGGAACTCAGCGTCTCAAGAAGGAACAAAAAAGACCTAACTTGCGGCAAGCGTAAGGACCAGATCTGGCAAAGCGGCTGTTTTTTCTGGACCACTAAGTTAGCAAGGGGCCCAAGATTTGCATAGCTCGCTTAGCATCAGGATGCTTGCCTCAGCATAGATGAAAGGTGTTTCATGGTGCAGCAGGTTCCCAAATCTCAAAATGCAAAACTTCACAAGGGCAAAAAAACCAAGCTGCACTTGTCAGGATGGCATAGCCGCATGATTGCCTTGACAGTTGAACGCTGATCTTTTGCAGCTGGCAGCCCTGCTTCAGTCATACCTCGAAAGTTACAAACTGCATCAAAAAATTGGACCCCCATATTGCCGTGGTGTTCTTATAGAATGGCCAGGCTCCGGCTTGCTGTTACGAACTGCTGAGAAAATCATGCATTGGCAACCAAGCAGGGCTAGCACCATCCGGACAGCATGCGGTCATGTCTCAAATAGGATGTTGACTGTGGCTCACAGTCAAATGGCAATCATTTTCACTTATATATATATATATACACATAGCGTCTAACCTCCCGCCATTGTGCCAGGCTGCTGACCAAAATGTCCTTGGGCCGAGATTCAAAGCGCAAAGCCAGGCGCACAGCGAAGGCCTGCAAAGCATCTTGGGAAAGTATTTATCAAAATCTAGAATCTATGAGCCTTACGGAAGCCAGCATGTCCAGTCAGCTTTAGTAGCAAGGTGGTGCTGTAGCTCAGTACATGGCACAAGCACTCTAGACGGCCTCCTTGCCCTCACAAGTCACATGTGCCGTTTTGTCAATTCTTTGTCCACGTGTTTGCCCACTGATCCTGCGAAAAGGTGCAAAAGCCGTTGGCTGCATCTGCTCTAGCTTCAGCTTCACATTCTGCGATGACAAGCCTCAACAGGCGTGTGACTTGCCGTGCTCTTTTCCATGCGCACTGTCCAGTCACGCTCTCTGCCCAAAATGTTTCGGCAAACCCGAAGCAAGACGCTGCAAAGGAAAAGAGCATGGAAGCCATGCATGACATGAGTTCCCTCAATTGTTGCACATGTCTATTTCCCATGAAGTGTTTGCTTGCTGCCCCAGCTTTCTTGGAGCTTGCGTTGGCGGAGAAGCTGGCCTTGTGACAAGGTTGCAAAACAAACGACTTGCATGCGAAGCCCAAGGACAATCAGCATGGTACTACTCTTTGGTGACGAATGAGTCGGTTGAATGAATCGAAGATTTTTGCAATCCACAACTGAGGTCTATCGACCTTAAGTGCGGTCCAGCCACGCGCTGTGCCTCCAATGCGGGTTTTGTGAGTCCCTGATGAAGCCTCCTGTGCCAGAGCTTCTCACTTTGTACTTTCCTTTCGTCTTTCACTTCCATGTGTTCTTCAGTTTTTTTCACTCAGTTTGGAAGAGATAAATAGGAAAAGCAATAAAGGTTGCTTGCAAAGTCTCCACGGCTCGGATCGGCCCTGGGTGGTGAAGGCACCGCAGCCTAGCAGCAGTTGCCGTCATTACCAACTTGCAAAATTGTTTTCATGTTCACCCTGTAAGACTTCTTAGAGTAATCCTGTTTTGGTGGAGAGTGCTCTGCTGTTCTTCCTTATCTCGATCTTTCATGCTTCATTCTCCGTGCTTCCAATGCTCTAGCACCTTTTGCCCACATGTTTGCCCTCTCGTGTTCCGAAAGGCTGTTGACGGGCATGTGCATCGCTCGAAGAGGCAGCATGTCTATTGAACACTATTGAACTATCGGTTGATGTGCGAGTGATCTGGTTTGAAAAAACGAACGGCTCACAACTGCAGCCTTCGGCTCCCAGCGCTGAGTCACATGGTTGAAATGGTAATTTGTTTTTGGCTTGGGCTTTGCTTTGGCAAAGTGCTCACCTCAGTACCACATCATAATGACCCGATGACAGAAATTGACCACAATCGACCTCAGGATCTCAAATCTTTGCTGAGGTACCAGTGTCCAGTGGCCGCGATTCACGCCGTTGTGGTAGAGATTCACTTGCCCTGCCCAATTCTTTAGCAACTCTGCAGATCAAGTGAGGCTTAGTAGGCTTAGTAGGGCCTGGATGGCGAGTGTCCCTCCCGTTCGGCCGCACGCAGCATCTCAATGAGGGAGTCGAACGCACCCTCATCCTCCGCGTCGTCCTGCTGGAGTGGCTGCTTGGAGTGGAGGCACCATTTGCGGGAAAACTCTACGCAAAAACAACTGCATCCACACTTGGCATTAAACACCGCCTCTGCGACACCTGCGAAGGGGTTGTACTCCTGCCACTTCCAAGGTTGCTGGGCGTGCGAAGTA